AAACAAATTTTAAAACAAATTGAATATAAAAAATATAAATAAATAAATATATACATCAAATTTAAATGGCATTAATTTTTTTTATATAGATTAAACATTACTACTTTATCATCAACTTTTAGAGCAAACCTAGATAGAATAATCATCAAATTTTTCTCTTTCCCTAATAAATTATTAGAACAAGGGGTGAAATATTATAACGAACAAATTTGAAAAAACTAACCTAAAATCGTTATATTTAGTTCACGTGCAGCTTGTCCCAACAAGAATAATCATTAATAAATTATTCATAATTAATTACTAAATTATGAACAATTACTTAAAAACAATTTCAAATAAATTATTTGTAGCAACGTTTCTTAAATTGTTTGTTGTTCTTATTAGTACAATAAATGTTTGTTCTAAATTAATCATTAATAAATTATTCATAATTGATCAATAAATTATTAATAATTAATTGAAAACAAACACTTACTACCTGAACAAATATTCCACTATTTAATTTCTGCCATTCGAACATAACCTCTCACTGTCCTTAACACTAGTACTACCTAATACATAACCTCACTTTTCAAAATTTATTTGTCAAACCATCAAGTATCTAATTTTTATATTTCAATTAACTCATATCAATTTAGTATTTATTCTCTCTTTTAACATACTTTATAAAATGTTTAAATATCTTGTTTATTATTTCAATAATAATTTATAATTTTCCTTACCATGGCAACTAATGCAACCCCATACCATAACACTGCATAAATCAGTTTCCTTAATTTTTTAAACAAATTTCTGTGATTCACAACAATTACAAAATAAAAAATCAGGAATGGTAGTTCCAGTGTTAGATAACAGTCTTTACATAATGCACCCTTAGAAACAAGAAAGCGTTAGGACACGTGGCGCAGCATAACCTCAAAAGTCACAAAAGATGAATTTTGTTGCATCGATCTGGAATCCATAGAAGTGTGAAGTGATCTGCTATTTTATCCAATTTGTTACAATCCGAATAATACTTCAATTCTGTTTTACATAATTTTATACAGTTTCATATAATTTTATATAATTTTATATAGTTTTATTGAGTGCTATATTATTTTATATAATTTTATACAGTTTTATATGCTTTTGTATACCTCTACGTAGTTTTATACAGTTTTATATGCTTTTGTATACCTCTACGTAGTTTTATACAATTTCATATAGTTCCATATAATTTTATATACTTCCATTTAGTGCTATATTATTTTACACACTTTTACACAGCGTTATATAGTATTATATAATTTTATACACCGTTACACACTTTCATATAATTTTACATAGTTGGACTACTTGAAAAGATTTTGCGTGGCTGACCCGGCTGGTACAGTTCAAATTTCGACTGCATAATTCGCTAACAATTGACTATAGGGCTGGTTTCAGTGATTGCGATCATTCCGGATCGTTTCCTGGCAACTCAGCCGGCAGCTCGTCGAACAGCAGCCTGTCGACGAGAAGCCTGGACAGTCCGAGTACCAGCCTGGAGCACGTGCACCCGGCTACGTCGGCGACGAACACATCCACCTCGTGGGACAGCGATGTCGACGTCGAACCAGACCCACCGGACTGGAGCCAGGGTGTCGCTGAGGAAGTCCTTGCTAGACTCAGCAACGCTGAGAAGAAGCGACAGGAAGTTATTAATGGTGGGTGCTTTCGCTTTCTTACAAACAGTGCAGTTGGCGTTGTTTTAGAAGCTCAGTGTTGTGGGAAGTGTTGATAGTTCTAGCTACTAACAAGTTTTCATTACTTTCCTTTATAAACAATACAATAAACGTTGTTTCAGAAGCTCAGCGTTGTAGAAAGTATTGCTAGGTTTAGCAGCTGCTAACTTTCTGTTACATTCGCTTGTAAACAATGGAATAAACATTGTTTTAAAAGCTCGGTACTATAGAAAGTACTACTAGGTCTAGCTACTACGAACTTTTTGTTCCTTTCCCTCGCAAACAAAACAATGTACATTATTTCAGAAATTTAGAGTTGTAGAAAGTGTCGCTAGGTCTAGCTACTGCTAACATTCTGTTACTCCCTTCGCAAACAATGCAATAAACAATTATCACACCACAAGCATAACCAGCAAAGAGTACTAAATCCATCTTCTGTTTCCAGAACTATTCCACACCGAACGGTCTCACGTGCGGGCGTTGAAGGTCCTGTCACACGTGTTCCACAAGCCACTGCTGGAGTCCCTAGTGCTTCCGTCAGACCAGATACAATTACTATTTTCGAATTTGGACGAGATGGTGACGATTCACTCGCGGTTCAACCAGGCAATGAAGCGCAAGAAGAAGGAGAATCCGTGTGTGGGTGATGTGAGTGAGCTGCTGTTAGAAATGTTCGATGGTGAAAACGGTGAAGCGTTTGAACGTGCCGCGTCTACCTACTGCTCGAAGCAGCAGGTGGCTCTGGACGCGTTGCGTGACCGACGTCGCAAGGATCCAAAGTTGAACGCTTTCCTGAACGAGATTGAGGCTAACCCACTGTGTCGAAGGCTGCAGCTCAAGGACCACATACTGACAGGCATGCTCCGGCTGACAAAGTATCCACTGCTTTTCGAGAATCTTGCCAAGTACACACCGGAGAGCAACGAGAAGGAGAGGGCTGCCGTGCTGAGGAGCCTGGACAGGAGCAAGGAGATCCTCAGTCGTGTGAACCAAGCTGTCCGTGAGGCTGAAGATTACCAGAGGCTCTCAGAGATCCAACGTACCATTGACAGGTCTGCCTTCGACAAGTTTGACCATCCGACTGTTCAGGAGTTCAAGAATTTGGACATCACCAAGCGGAAACTGATCTACGAAGGTCCACTGCAGTGGAGACGAACAGAGCAAAACCGAGCCAAGCCTGTCGACCTGCACGTGGTCCTGCTGGACGACACGATATTTCTGTTGCACCGACAAGATGAAAAGTACCTGCTTAAGTTCATCAACACAAACCAAGCGAACTCAGTGCTGAGCCCCATCGTAAAGGTCTCCACAGTTCTGGTCAGGCATAACGCTGTGGACAAGAACTCACTCTACCTTGTCAACACGTCTCAGAACGGTGCACAGATCTATGACTTGGTTGCTGCCTCGCCAGCTGAAAGGAAACTCTGGTGCAAACATATATCGGAGGCAGCTGAGGCGTACAAAGCTCGTGACAAGCAAGGTAGAAGACCTACACCACCCACTACACTGCCAGAAGAACCAGGACCTACGATCGAGGACCCAACCTCGACTGAACATGACAATATTCCTGACAAGACGGAGCAAGAGCAGGAACAGGAAGCTGAACCCAAAGACCCCGCACAGGATACTAGTGTGGAACACGAAGAGGAGAAGCCCAATCTGCCTGCGCCAGCTGCTGATCCTTCGACAACTGAGCAGACGCAGCAGCAACCCCAGCAGCAATACCCTGCTGAATCTCCAAATTCAGGTTTTGAATATGTTCTTGTGTTTCTCGACTAGTGCTTGCTTTAAGAGACGGTATTCTTTGTTATTCTGGTGGTGATGATACAAGTTTACGTTGATTCTATGGTCCGAAAGAAATCTAAATCATGAAATGAGTTCTCTTCAAATAAGTTTTGTTTTTGAATAGTTTGTGTTTTGCTTGCTTACTGATGTTGCATTTCTTTCCGTTTCTTATTCAGGTATGGGAGAACCTTTGCGAATGGTTACTTGTACGCAGGTGTCATTAATTGATCCATTGGAAGTTCACGTGGAAGTACCACCTGTACACATTGCAGAACCAGTACTTACATCTATAGGTATACTATTTATGTTTATAATGTATAGTTTTAGATTTTTCACATTATACAGTGGTTTGAACTGTCGTTACAAGTAGAACCTATTATCTTGATTCTATTTTTAATCGTTGTCTGTTTATTTATAGAGTGTCTCAGGAGAAAGGATGAAACGATTAAGCAAGCTTTGATAGAAAAACAATTGTTAGTAGCAGATATCTTGAATATTCCAAAAGAAGACTTCGAGCATGTAGCAGACATGGCATCTGAGCCTTCGAGCATGGAAAAAGAACCTGCAGAACTCATACTCGCTGCTATTAGTCAAGGTATTTTATAAATTCAGATCGTAATTAAAATTACTCTTGGAATTGATAAGTATATGAAAAATTGAAAGAAGTATTATAATAATATTCTAATAATATGATATTATACATTCAACAATATTAATAATAATAATATTAATTGTGAAATGTTTAATTGTGAAAGACTTGATTTCACAACATCGCAGCAATATATATATTATATAAAAGAGTACAGTTCTATTTTTACATGTACTTCATATTTGAATTAGATATTAATAAAAGAAATCAGACTTATAATAAAGAAATGTAAATATTTGTCTATCGTATACTTTCAGCGAATCAATTAGTGGGTCTCCTAAATTCTGCATTAAACGTAAGTGAAACAGAAACCGTACTTGCATCACGTGGAGCATCAGTACTGTCAACACCGCCAAGCTGCGAAGCTGGATGTCCGTCTCCAAGAATGCATGTTTATCCTCAACAACCGGCTGTATCAGTTGCAAGCTTACAACCAGTTTGTCATTCTCTAACGTCTCAATTGTCACAGTTACTGGTGAGAATTCAAAACTTATCGAAAGTTAGAATATATTGGGTTGGCGAGAAAGAAACTTTGGTCTTTTAGTGTGAAATAAAACTCAATTTGAGCTTCTTAACGAGTTCAAGACATCTTATGTGATTTTCAATTGTTGCGTGTGATACGTTTAACCTTTTTACAACCTCTCGCACAGTTATATGACAATTAGATACAATATTACGTACCATACATGCTCAGTCTTTTTTAACAGAACTATGAAACCATATTCTTATAAATTCATTAATTAATTTTAATGATATTTCTGTTCCATTGTACTCTGTCATGAACACAATATTTCTAAATTAACCTCTCACCTTGTAATGTGTCAGACTCGTGGTGAAGATTTTCAAAAGAATTTAATAACTGAAAATATTAGGTAGGCAAGAAAGTAATGTCGATTTTTTAGTGAAATAAAACTCAATTTTTAATTTAGTTCTTAATTTTTTTCAGTTGTAAACAAAATTACACGGAATTTGTTTCTATAGTAACCTAAAAGTGTCAACTGAAGAGTAACGAAACATAACCCTATCTATTTATGCAAACCGAAGTGACATTCTTGCCAACTCAATATTTAAATATTGAAAAATCAGGATGTTTCTTAACCTTCTGTTACATTCAATAAATTTAGATATAAATAAAATAACAATTAGATAAAATAATCACAATAAGGCAACGAAATTAGATAAAGTATCTTTAGAAACAGTATTAAGTGGTACGTTTGTGTCTGCATCGTAGGAGATTATAAAAGGAAGAGAAGAAGAGCGAGAAAGGTTGAGAAAAGAGCTACGTAGAAGCAGAGAACGTCTTCATGCTCATGATGCAGATGTACAGCGTCGTGAGTTTTCAGAAACCTGTACCACATCGAATCAAACACAAACAGAACCCGGTTAGTTAATCTCTATTATAAAAATATATATGTAAAAATAAATAAAGATAGTATCACACAATTTGCTGTGCTTTCGTTGCAGGTGACATTTTGAACAAAGAAAGCAGTATTGACGAACCCATGCGAGATGTAAGCTCAACATATTTCATGATTAATATACTTATATCCGATGAATGTTACTGTAACACTTTCTATGCGTTACAATCATTTACGAAAGATATTACTCAATAGACACTGATTTTAATTATACATTATTCAGAGGTGGAATTAATAATTATGCATCGCTTTATTGCTGTATTTAACCAAATAACAGTACGTTGTAACAAATAGCCAGGAAGATGAGTTTAAGTTTAAAAAAATGATCATACAAATATAAAAGTCTTTGAGATTCACAAAAGAAAACCCAAGTTTAATTACTCATCACATAAAGTTACTTTTTTGTCATCAGCATATGCACTTAAGAGGTTAATTATTAAATTATATGAAATTTGAGCTATTATTCCATATCAAACCAGTATTATAACATGAAAAATTCAAAGAGACATGAGTATATTCCAAATATTAAATAAACAATAAATATAGTTCCTTTGATGTTCTCCATATCTTTTGTACTAAATTTTTCTAAATCTAATTTAATTTTCTTCCAATCTAATTTAATTTCTCTAACTTAATTTTTTCTAATCTAATTTTTTCAATTTAATTTAATTTTTCTAATTCAATTTTTTTCCAATCAAATTCAACTTCCCCAAATCTAACCCACGATTCGCCCCCAACAGGAATTCGTAGACGCGCACGGTGACTCAGAGCCGGCCGAGGAGCTGGAGCACACCCAGCACGAGACCGAAACGGAGGTGATGGGCGACAGCGTCGGTTGATACCAGCACCCGCCGTGCCCGCGCTAAGCAACGTCAACCTGGTGCATTTTTGGCCCCAGCCGCTCGCGCGCTGGAGTCGGTCGCAGAATCATGTAAAAAAAAACGAAACAATAACAAACGGCGAGTAGCTGCTGCTGTTCACGGAGTATAATAATTATTATATACATATTTACAGAAATCATGGGTCAATGATTAATCATGCCTTTGCCAAAGATTTTATGTAACCGGATTTACATGGCTCGCGCCATGATGATGACTAAAAGAAATTATACATAAATTTTAGATGGGAAATAAATATAGATATACACGGTGTATCTTTTGTTCAGAGGGTCCGGGAAGATCCACGTCCTGAAATCTAGCAATTCACAGTAAGGGCCCTCTTGCCCTCTGAACGGAGGTCGCCTGATGATCTGGAATTGATATTCCTCGCATCGATTCCACCGGAAAACTGTTGTACAGAGTTGTCACATGGTTCGGGAGGACGTCGATTTCTACTCTGTTTTTATATGCAACCGAAAGGGAAACCAACTCTTGGAGTCATTTCTTTAGAATGATCATTTAGCGTCTTCTGTGATTTCCTATGGTACATTGCGCAACCCAGGCCAACTGTGTTGATGTGACGGTTCAGTAGGTACATTCTATTGCATTTATATGGGGATCGATTGGACAGTGTGCGCATGGTGTGACCAGATGTTCAGGATGAGTCCGGAGGCAGCAATTGGCTTTGGAGTCTGTTGAGACAATGATTCAGAGGTTGGGTTTGCTGGGAAGTTTCCATCGCTGCCAATGACATCTCAGAATGATGGCGATTTGTGGATTTTAGTTTCTGTGGAGTGACTAATGTTTGAACTTGAAATGAGCTTTCCCGTAGACAGTGTCATTTTAAGTTTCTAAAGGTTAGTCGTAGAAATGAAGTTCACAAATTGTCTGCGATGGTCATTGGTAACTGCGAATGATGTCAATGAATATTAATGTATGTATTGAGAATGTATTTCAATTTGGGAACGGACAACTTCCTGGCGGACCCAATGATGTCTCAAAATTAATGGGAAAGCAAGAGATTAAAATTGACAGAAATAGAAGTATTTCAGGAGATCTAGTTTCTTTGATCTGTTCATTATGTTATTAATGTTTTTATGCGACTAATTGCTTTCGAGCACTATCTTTACTGTTCGGGTTAGTAGTGTTAACAGGCAGGTGTGTCAAGCGAATGGTTGTTTAATAGACGGTGAACAAAAAAGCAAGTTTTTATCTTTACGTTGAAGTACATTTAAGATAATGCCATTATCGTAGATTAATTGATCTGAGAATTTTGGAAATAGAAAATAGAACTTTACGAATTGTGCATTAGGTTTTTGTAAATTTATGTAACCGTATTAATACACTGTTGTTATACTACGCATCGGGACAGTGTGTTAGATTTTTATTGGTTTCCTTGATACGTTCTCATGGGGTCCTTGCTTTTTTTGATCTTTTACTAATTTCCATTTGCTTCGCTGGTATATTTTGCTGTTGAAATTTCAACGTAACCACGTACAGAAAGAGAATACTACTAACGACACTTGCTTTAAATAATAATTGCCTTCTGGTGCTATATTTGCCTAAACGAACAATGGAGTTCCTTTTTCGAACGTACTGTAATATACGAATAGAGTGAAAAGCGAACGAAGAGTGAAGAAAAATTTATATATTGCGTACAGAAATCCTGAACATGATTGGTAACCAAAATATTCTTAATATTTTAAGATGAGAACAACCAATAGACGATATAAGATATTCTTCGTAAATAATAATTTTTTTAAGCGAAACATCACTATCGTACGAACAAATGGAATATTATATTAAATATTCTGTAGCTGTTTAATTAATAACAATGCTGTTTTTGTTGAATATACCACTTGAAAACACAGTTGGGATAAAATGAGAAAAAAATGAAAATGTACTACTCTCTCTGTAACGAAGGACTGATCGTGCGAAAAAGACTTACCTGTTTACATAAAATCTTTGCTACTTTTAAACACTAATAATTCCCTAATGATAAAATACGAATTATTATAAATACATTACTATGTACATGTAAAAAATATTTAATAACATTATTAGTTAATATTATTAATTATTATTATTATAATTATTAATTATTATTATAATTATTATTATATTGCATTAAAATACTTATTAAATTGTAAATTACTCTGCAATTTTTTAAACGTTAATTTCAAGTACACCTTTTACTATAGGAGCTTCATTTTGTTCATTTATACATATATATATATATACAGTGCTAGATCTTTAATGTAGTCTGATCTTTCACTTTTGACAGTTAAGTTATGTGCTTTGCTTGTAGGAATTAAATAAAACGAGGTAAGTAAATGTGACTAATATTCTGAGTTCAAAGTTCAATTTTGCATAGTTTCATTTTTTTGTTTGTTAAATACAGTTAATTACATACAATGATTTATTAAATATTCGAAGCAAATTTCTAGGCATGTTGAACAATATTGTAGAAATATTTTTAAAAAATATCTTATGAACTATCCGATCCTTGATTGCCATAAGCAAAGTACATAATATAAATATAGTTCACAATTTTTTATAGTAAATTAATTATTAACACTGGGATGTCAGAGTGAACTTACATTACATTGGAAGTCCGGTACATTGGTATTTGTAATTTTTCTAAAAACTATTGAGTATCCATGTTGTAATACCAGCTACTTGTAAACGTATTGAGATGGGTGAAACATAATAGATTACATTTTATCTTGCTAATTTCTGTGACACAAAGTTGTCTTATCAAGTTACAAATTCAATGTCTTGTTTCCATGAACGAGGTCAGTTGAACAATTAATCATTGAAGTAGATCCATTAGAGTTATCAAATATTACAGACTATTATAATAGAATAACACATTTTGTCCGATGAAAGTATTTTGTGTCATTTCTCCTGTAAAGGAGAAGATTCAGTAAAGATTCTGGTTTCGGAGTGTAGGAAAAGGTTTCTTTACGGTAGAGTAAACTAGATGACAGTCTACGGTTTCAGTATTTTATTGCATATTTTCCCAACGTACAAACAGTTCTGCTGCATCCCGCAGCAGTCCTTCAGAGATTCTTCAATAATGGAACGTCTGGTTTTTGTAAGTGTACGTCTGAACCAAAAAACAGATACATTTTACGTATAACTCTCTCAATTTTTTCATAATTCCACATCCGTTAAAAGTTAATAAATGTGGAGAAACTCAAGGTGATACGAGTACAGTAACTGCAGAAATATTAATTTTTTAATTTGAGAGAAGATTCATTGAATCGATTACCTAATTATTGATATTTGAAAGTCTGAAAGTCCTGAGAAATGGTAATTTGATTCGAGAACTTGTCAATTCATTTGAGAAAATCTTGAGATGTCAAAGATCTCAAAGTCAAAAAATGATTATTGTACTATACCTCCTTTTACTAGATATGATAATGACTCTAGAACTAAATTATGGTTCCGTACTGATGTTGGTTCCTAAAAAAGATTTCAGATAAGAAACTATGCTAGATCTATCCAACATACTCAACGATAGATAGACATGAAAAGAATATGTTTTTATCAGGGTAGAGATTTTGGTAATGTGATAATCCCAAATAGAGAAATGCGAATAAATTAAGGGAACAATATACTTAAATCTGAAAAACTGATGTGATGTACGGTCAGACTGAAAAACTTTTCGAAGTAAATAAGGGAATATGAGTGATAGAGTTGGAAGAAGTTTCGAAGGTACTGAAATTATACGCATAGTGTCCAAAGTGTTAAACCTAGCTTAAAGGCAAAGGTGTTGACGCAGACAGCAATCTCCTTGGTCCCATGGTTAATGTTGGTACACGGACAGTTATGAGACAGCCTTGTCCACCTTCGTTGTGATGCTTAGAAGGCGTACCCTTTTAACGAAGAACAACTTAAGTAAGTACATATATATTTCTTCAATAATTTCCTTAATTTAAATTTACTATCTGATATTTAGTTAAATCAATGCTCCGTAAAAATAAAATTTTATATTATCTTCATTTAAGTAACATCTGTTTTGAAAATTTTATTAAAACTAACTTTACTGATAACAATTTTTTCTTCAGTGAAGTTAATCCTTTATTTGATATGAAACTTTTAATTAAATATATCTGCTGAACAGTTGGAATGTTAGATTAATGTTATTTAAATGATTTGTCGTTAAATAACATTTTCTTAATTCAATTTGAGTTAAATATAAAATTTTATTTAAATAATAATCTTCGTTACACTAAAATTATCGATTAATTTAATTTAGATGTAACATAAAACTTTTAATTAAATACATCCCCTATAAAATTATGGCAATGGTGACAATATAATATATTAAATTAATTTATACAATAAAAAAATTAACTTTATACATTCATTACAGTATATAAGAGTCATTTTTGTTAACAACAGCATTACTCGTAGCTATTAAATAAATGCTAGAAAGAATCTGTGCTCGCCTTCGAAGTTCTTTCTGGTGTGTATATGAAATTTCTTACACGCATACTTCCATTAACGATAAGCAACACTGTTTACAATATTTTCATAGCTCATAATATATAACATTCTCATATTATGAACAATTATTCACAATATAACATGTACTAAACATCAACGATCAAGATGCAACATACTTACGCTCTAATTGATTAACAATTTCATTAAGTCATATTAGAAAAATGGGCAACGTTAGAAAAAGTAATGGAATGTGTTATTAAAAATAGCTTCTTCGCCAGTCATTTATCTGTGCTTTTAGTCTTCCTCCAGTTTTCTTAACAGAATTATAAATATTTCATTGCATGTCATTGTATAAGTATCATTATAAGCGTATTAACATTACCGAGGAGTGAAAGTTCAACTTCACAGAGTAACAATTCTTTACATTATCATTATTCCAAACATTGGAATGGTCATTGTTTCAAAAGTTAGTTAAACTCCATTCACTCTTGTATTTCAAAAGCTTTGTCGTCCAGCCATGGGCGAAATATTGGCAGAGTTGACGGGTAGTGTGCTCCTCTTTTCGATGGGGCAGTTCCTGCTGGTGCGCCTTCTTGTCTCAAAGGGTACGTAGCCAGGACAATCGGTATTTGCAACTTGATTTCCTTATCCAAACTCTTTGGGCTTATTACAAACTGTAAGAATGAAATATTTGTCTCAAATATGCAATGTACTTTTAGATCACTTGAGGTTAGGTTAGGGGATTCAGATGATCAGTCACTTTTCATTTTTTTCTTAATTAATTTTCTGTTAGTTTGATTTCATAATTTCTGATATTTTTGGTCACTACTTTGCTATTTGTCAATCAGTTAAGTTAACCTAAACATACATCATTAATTTCTATACTGTTCTATTGGACATCAAGTCATCTTCCAACTGTAGGTAGTTACATGATGTAGATTACTAGTTCTTTGTTTAACTTTTATTTAACCTTTGAAGACCTTTGTGACTTCTAAATGTTTAATAAATGGTTTGATTGTTAGTTGAATGGCGTTAAATTGGTTTTTCTACGTACGCACTTATAAGTCGTAGAATATGTACAATTCCTAGCATAAGATTAACAAATATGTCAATGTAAATGGACCGGAAAGGTTTAGTGTGCTTACGTTTAATAAAAATAGAAAATTAGTCATGCTGTGCGAGCTTGTAATTATTAATTGAATTAACTGTTACAGGATGAAGGTTTTTACTTACGTAAACATGATAAAGAACATTGATGAGGTGACACCCCCGTAGATTGGTGGGTGGTAATGGAGGAACATACATTTGCTCGTTCAACCATTCCTCACCCTCACCAGGTCGAATTTTCCCCCTGGAAACACTCGCCAACTCTCGTGTCTCACTTGCAAGCACTTTACCTCTGCACAGGTACTGTATTGTTTCGGTCAGGGATGCTTTAGTCGACTTCATAGTCACCTGTGGAATAGTTTCCGTTGAATACGTAGTATGTGACTGTTTGGGGAATCGTAAGAACAAGTGTGTTTTAACAAATATAGAAAATATACTTGATTAAAGTTAAATGATTAATTAAAATGATGTAATCTGGTGGATCGCTTGCAAAATCTCACTTTATGTGTAAAAAATAAGTATTATAAATTATTATTATTTTTTTTTAATAACAAAGGAAAATGGTATGGAAAATAAATAAAGATGTTTAATAACATAAATAGCTAGATAATAGTGTAACATGACTACTGTGACGTCATCAAATCATTAATAATTTAAATTTATATTAAGTATAAATAAAATTAAATATTATAGTATAAACATAAATAGTATAAATAGAATAAAATGAATTACATAATATAAATTAAATAATAATGTTATTATTATTATGTTACGTTATAATAAATAATAATGTTATTATTATACGTTATTATAATAAATAATAATGTTATTATTATACGTTATTATAATAAATAATAATGTTATTATTATACGTTATTATAATAAATAATAATGTTATTATTATACGTTATTATAATAAATAATAACGTTATTATTAAAATGTTAATATCATTTAAAATTCTTATGGCAGTCAACGCGTCAACACTTTCTTACATAGTGACACCAGTCTGATCATCTGAAAATTCCACAGAAAATTTCCTGTCCCCTTAATTTTGCACAGCACTGTATCATCCGTTTGCACTTGCCGGCCAGTCGGAGAAATGTCCACGTTTTAAAAGAGACGCGAGGGTATCGTGTTGTCGCCTCGGCCCTGTCTCCACGTCGGATACTCTTTCGGTTAACCATCGAATCGTAATACGATACACACCTTGCTCCGATTGCTGACGGTCGCAGAAATGCCAATAGTTTCGCCGGGAACGTATCCGCCTCGGTCGAGGCTCACCCTGCAGAACACCGGGCCCCCGGAGACACAGGAGACGCCGACCCGTTGCTCGATCTCTTGCCGCGCCGGTTGCTGTTGAACACATTCACACGTATCGTGATTAAACGAGATTGCTTCTGTCGTTTATTGTTGTATTAGATATTTGTAATTTTGTATTAATCCAATGTTACTTTAATAGTATTATTAATATAATATTACATTAATATTAGTCTAATATTATTATTAATATATTAGTAATCTGTTACTTTAATATTAGTTTATTTATTATTACTTTAACATTACTTTATCACTATTATTATTATTAATATAATATTACTTTATTATTATTATTATTAATATAACATTACTTCAATATTATTATTAGTATAACATTAGTATAACAAGATCAAATTCAGTGTCGGTGAATTGCTGAGATTCTCCTGATTAAAATGAGCCCAAACACGATAAGAATCGGACAAGTTTTATCAATTTCATGGAAACGAGCCTTAGTTTCGCTAATTCATTAATTCGGTGAAACTAGTCCGATACCCTTCGTGTTTGTACTCATTTTAATCAGCACATTCTCAGCAATTCACTGACGATATGTTTGAGAAGGTAAAGTTAAAATTACTGCATCTGAAATTTTTTTTATTGCATGTTTGATTTTATCTTCTCAAATGTAGTACCAGTCAATTGCTGAGATCATTCTCATTAAAATGAATACCCACACGATGGCAATTTGACTAGTTTTTCGATTCGATGGAAACGTGCCTTTAGTTTCGTTAATTACGTAAAATGGGTAAAACTAGTGCGATTCCCATCGTGTTTGGACTCATTTTAATCAGCACAACCTCAGCAATCCATTATCACTGTGTATGAAAAGATAAAGTTACAATTACTGCAATTGAAATTTTTCCTAAGTTGTGAAATTTAAACGAGCATCACTGTGTAT